GTCTCTCACCAACTCCTGCTGCCACATCTTGGCCTAATATATATCAGCAAGATCATAGTATAGATTATGCATTCTACTGCACACACAGTACGAACCATGTTACTAGTAGGGAATGGCATCCTCACTGAAACACAACAAAACAGGTTTTGAACTTTACTCCAAACATCCATTAAACTTTTTGTGGAAACTCTTATTTGTGTGTTCAGAAACAAAGGAGAAGTCCCAAAAGATGCAACAGGAACCAAAATACTGTTGTTTAAACCCAGACAGTGCTTTAGGGAGGACATGAGACTCTTACTGGTTTTCTCTACCCTGTATAGGAATGATGGTTTCTAAGGGAAGGAGTTAGCTTCTTGTTACTGGTTATGATAGAGACGTTTGTTCCTGGAATAAACTCTTCAAAGTTTTTATTCTTGGAATAAATTCTCAGCCAGTTCTTAGAAGAAGGAATCTATCCAAAACACGCCAATTATATTTTAGCTCCCAGAGATTTATGAAACTAAGTACACTGCAGCCAGGCCTCTTGGTATGCTGCTTTCTAGAAAAGAGGAAGGTGTAGGGCTCTTTGCTATCAGAAATCTCCTGCACGAAAAGAATTGCTACCTATGCCCAAAAATAAATACATGCCAGTTCTTTCATTTCTACATCACTAGCCCAGTTCTGAACCAAATCAGGAAATATATGGTCCATTCAAAACCTACGTGGGAGCATAAAACCGTGCAGGGCACTGTAAAGACTATATAGGTCGTACTAACCTTATGTCAAGTGTGGGGAAGGTCAGTGTTCAGGTTTCACACTTGCTGTATAGAGTAAGAGCAAGAGTATGTTCTCTACGAGCAATGCAAAGAGGGTAGGTGTGAGCAGAGGCACAGATCTTGTGAGGTGGATAAGGAGTTTACAGAGGTGGTGTAGTTCCTCCACAAGCACTACCTTTTGTGGGCACACACACATACTCCAAAGCTTGATGTGTTGAGCCTTTGAAAAAACTTTCACACGCTTTCGCACACCCTTGTCTTCGGGCAGAAGGAGAACTTTGAAACACTGTGTGCCAGATTTTCTACAGGAAAATATCCAAGTGCAGAAAAAAGAGCAAATTATTTTAGCCTAATTTCCTTGGAAAGTGTGGTGTACACAACAGTGTTCTCAACGTATATCTACCTTTTCCTGGGTAATACATTTTGAAAGAATTGGCTGATTTCAGCCATATAGGAAAGAGAAGTGGAGTTCCTAAGGATATTAAATTTCCCCATATCTCATGAAAATAGGCAGCTAAAGGAAGGGGTACTTTTAAGGATTTCAGAAAGAGAAGGACTACTGGGTGAGCTCGGCTCTGATTAGAAACCAGAGAATCCACACAGGCATACTTCTCTCAAGATGTAAATCCTCAGTAAGCTCAGTTTTAATTTGTTCTGCTGATCACAGGACTGCTTGTTTTGCTCTTGTTGTGCAAACCTTATCTCACTTCCCTCAGCTTCTTCCTTTCTTTACCTATCTGCTCTTCCATTGCAAGGGAGTGGGGCCCTGATCTTTATTTGGTCAGGCTCTAACTCGGAAATTTGGCATGAATAGAAAACACACACACCCTGAGGCAAGGCAATGACAGCATCAGCAACAAGGGAGAGTGTCAGGAGCCCCTAGAAAGCTTGACATTTGGAAACTTCATAGTGAAGGACCATGGGGAGATGATATGTGGGTGTCTGCAGACATGGACAAGCAGCAGCAGGGACTGAAGGCAGGTGGTATTGCCATACCATGGTATGTGCTTGAAGACAATCTGGAGGTAGTAAAGTGGTCCAGGTGAAGCAAATGGTAGTTCCCAAGTATTAACACAAAGTAGCAAAGCACGTGTAAGCCAAGAGAGCAGAGGTGAGCATTTAGGAAAGCAGCTCCACACGGCCAAGGTCCTGGTGCTTTGCAGCTGCAGCAGTACTTGTATGGCTTTGAATAAACACCAACACTGCAAAAAAACAGTGTGCAATAAATTACACGCTGAACAAACCTAATGAAGACATAACTGCAAGGTTAAGAATGACATTTCTATCAGTTCACAGTAGTCCCTTTTCCGACCCATGGTTTTGGTGACCACAATGACAAGACCTGTATTTAAATTGCTGTACCTGCTGGGCAGTCAGGAGAGATTTACATACTGTAGGAGTTCATTTTCTAAGTCTTTTTCTTCCAGTATTCTTTAAAAGTTGCTACTTTCTCCAAAGGTTAGAAAAGTATGAAGGAACAATTTCAAAGTTTGTACTTCATTATTTTTATGGCCTTATAATTGTTTTATTTACATTTTCACCAGTCACAGAAAACACAGTTGCACCAAATTTGTTGTAGCAGAGTTTTACCTGCTGAGTTTCAAAGACAGTTAACACCTGGCCACAGACCCCTATAGCTTTGAGCACCCTTGACTACCAGCTCACAGAAATGATCAAGTGGAAAAAAAGGCGAGTCTTACAGCTTGTTTTGTCTGCAACTTTCCAAGCATCCAGTAATTTGTACTCTTCTTTTCGTTACAAATGCTCTACAGTGAATCTCCTGTGGTTCTCCTGAAATTCAGCCTCTCCTGAACTTACCCATTTCCCATTAACTTTTGCTGCCATTCCCTCTGCAGGCTTCTTGTTCTCACAGGAAGAACTCTGGCTTTTCCAGCTTGTATGAGAAAAATGAACTTGACTTGTCCTGCAGATGCCGCAAGGCACTTCTTGCCTGTGGCTTCTGTGGGATGTTGCTTATCCATCAAATTAGAAAGCTTGTAAGGACAAGGTGGAGGTGAAGAGGAGCTCTACCTCCTCAAGACTAATTCTGGTACTCTCAAGACTTCTCCCTGGTGCCCCTATAAACCTTCCCACCTTGATAAGAAAGTTTTTGAGTGGGACTTTTTGAAGGTTATGTTTTATCAGTTCCCTGGACAAGGTAATGGTTTTGTTCTGAAGGAAATGACCCTCAGTACTTGTACACCTGCATGCCTTCTAGAAATGCTGCCGGTTCTTCTTTTATTCCTTGGTTGGTAAGGTGTGATAATATCTCAGACTGATCAATAAGAGCTCCGAAAACTAGAAAGGCTTTTGGGCATATGAGTTTTGTACAGCTTTCTTGAATAAAAGCCTGTACACCTGAGAGACTGTCCTTACCAGCCTGCTTAGCTGGTATAATATAAGGCAATGCCTCTCTTTTAAATATTTTCCTCTTGTATTTGGAAGCCATGATGGCTACAATGTTGCAATCTCTGTAATTTTTAAATGTAAATCTGTATAAATAACCTAAGTCACTGGCAAACACTGGTAATCTAAATGAATTAGGTTCTGCCTTTCTCGAAGACCCCAAAATATGGGTAGAGTTTAATGAATGGAATGTTTGTTCTTATGGTATCACTTACCTATACCATGTGTACCATCTGGTGCAGTGCTACAAAGCAGAAACTCTTCTTTAGCTGACTTCACTTTACTGAATCATGAATAATTAAGTGAAGCAGATATTATATACCCTTAAATATATATATAAAAATATATACCTATGATGAGAAGCTGTCTACCTGGTAATTTCCTTCAGCATCAGAGATAGCAAAGATAAGCTAAGTAATCGAACTCTTTCTTTAACTCAAGTATACAAACTCAGGGGATTTTTGGCTTATATAAACCAGTGATTCAATATCAGTGTAGGAAAGAGAGGTTAGATTTGCAGTGACTGCCTATTGGGATATAGTAATTACAAAGAAAGGGGTATGTTGGAAGGTCTTGGTCTAAACCACAGCTTTAGCCAAATGCTCTGTGCTCCAGGGGAATGTACTACCATTGTGCTAAAGGTACCCACTGCTTCGTTTAATTACAACTTCACTAATGAGGCAATGAAAGCAGTCTACTAGAACTTTTGAACTCGCCAACTGCTTGTGCACTAATAACCACTTTCAGATGAGCTTATTTTATAAAAGGTCTACTTGGATCCTTAATTTCATGGGTATTGAAAGCTGAAAAGAAAAAAAAAGAAAAAAAGATATGTGCTACAATGGGATTATATTGCTGAGGGACAAGTGTATAGGGATAACTTCTGCTGGTTATTTTGAGGTTTTTTTTTCCTTCCGTCTTGTACTTGCCCTGGTGACAGGGGAGTCATCTGTTATCTCTTCTTTTTTGCATGGTAACTCTTAGGCCCTTCTTTCTCTTTTCTATGTTTTTGAACTAAATTGAGAGCAAAAAGTCATGTTTATCTTGTCCAAAGCAGCCATTGAACTGGAAAAGCCCCTTTCTCTCTGTTTCCTTCTAATGAAATGAATCAAGGGCTCAGGGAAGCCAGGTGCAAAGTCCACCAAGCTTCTCCTCCTAAGCAGTTTCAGACAGTTTTTTTAGCTGTACCTATGGACACTCTCTGCCATCTCCTTTTCCCTTTCTCCCAAAACTCTTTGAAAGATAAATAAAAAGGAGTACAATTAATGACAATTATTAATAGCAGACTGCAACAAGGTGCATGTTACGTGACCAGTGAGAACAGTTTGTCCTCTGCAGTGCAGTCACACCATCTCCAGGACCTGAGATAACTAATCCAGGTGTTAATTCATTTAGGAGAGAGAAAGAGAAGGTTAGAGGAACTCTAGGACTCAATGACAGGTTTGGGAAGTGGAGGCTAAACAAACTGCAGCTTACTTTGTTAACATTTGGACTGTGGTTTTTAAAACAATGAGAAAAATGGGAATAACACCACTAACTGCATTTGGAATTTCAGATTTTGTTTAAGTTCTAATAATATTTCTAATGATGAAAGCAAACTTGGTCTTTTTAATATTTTTTTCCACACAGAGGTATCCTCAGAGAGAAAGCTTCCTGCCCAAAACCTCAGAGCTGGAGACAAAAAAAAACAAAATAAAGCAAACATCTCAGAATAAAGCTCTTCTGCATCTTGGTGATAATTTCCTATCATGCATGTCTCTAAATCAGAGCAAAACTCTCAGATTACCCAGAAGCAATCTGGGTAATTGTTTCCACTGCAATTTAACCCTTTTAACTGGAGTTTCTGTAGTGTAGTGGTTATCACATTTGTCTCACATGCAAAAGGTCCCTGGTTCAAAACCAGGTGAAAACATCATGTTTAGTGGTTAGACTCAATAATATTAAGGGTTTTTTTTAAATCCTAAATGATTCTATTACTCTGAGCTATTGCCTATCCATTTGCCAGCCTCTCCCTTTGCAACCTGTCTCCATCATCTCCCACACATGAGAACTGGTCCTCCTCCAGTTCATAGTGTAGTGAACAGTTCTATGGAGAACAGCCCACATTTAAGTTGACCTAATCTGCCATGATTTCACACCATGAGGGTGCAGTTTAATTAACAGTGTCAATTAGTAGTTGCGAAAAAGAAACCAACTCCCCTTCACAGCAGAAAACCTAGCACTTGTTCTTGCTTTGCTCCTAAGCATGGTCAATTACCTGGACTAGGGGACTGATCCAACTGGAAACAAAGCTGGCTTTCTGCTAAGTTTGAATTTGAGGAAATTAATCTGATTGGTAGTTATAGGAAATGGAATGCAAAAATATGACGTAGAAATTGTAAGATTTTCCCTGTTGGATTGGCTTATCTCAAAGTGGAAAGAGCTTGATGGTGGAGTTGTTTGCTTTTCATTCATAGTTAATGACTCCCTTTTAGACACATTTCATAGAAAGTATAGAATGTATTGGTTTGGAAAGGACCTTTAAAGATCATCTAGTCCATTTCTACTAAATCCCCCAGCAAAACTTATAAAGTAATTATGTAGGAGTAGCTTACTATGATTTAGCTATACAGATATACCACCAAGAGTGTGCACTTTACTTCAATTTATTTCAATTAATGAGATGTTCCCTGGACAGTTCCTTGACAAATGCTACTATTCAGCTCTCTAAAACCTCTACCTCTCCCAAAGTGCTTCTCTATGCTCCAGCCACGTCCTTTCCTACAAGGTCACTCTTATTTTCTGACTGTGAGAAGGCCTACAAATAAACAAGGAGCAAAGACACAGAAAGGAGACCCAGATCAATACCATGTCCTTTGGGACGCAGAGATCTCTTAAGTCTGACTTCAGTTCTCTGTTTCAGGCTTAGGTCTTAAAAGTTTAATGTTTTCATTGCTTTCTCCAGCTTGCATTCACTGGCAGCTGGAGCTGTTAATTTTGCCTTGTAGGCACACATGGTAATTGATTTAAGAAAAAAACAGCAAAGGATGATCACTGCTGCTGCCATGCTGGAGGTTTCTGCCCCTCAGCAGCTGCACAAACAACGGAGCCAGGGCGACCATAAAGTCGGCACCTCCAGCACAAGCAGTGGGAGGGAAAG